TAGAACACAGGAAGCTCCACCTCAACATGAGGAGAAACTTCTTTACTATGAGGGTAATGGAGCACTGGAACAGGCTGCCCAGAGAGGTGGTGGAATCTCCTTCTCTGCACTTTCAAAACCCGCCTGGATGCATTCCCATATGGACTGCCCTAGGTGATCCTCCTTCGGCAGGGGGATTGGACTAGGTGATCTCTAGAGATCCTTTCCAAGCCCCAACATCCTGTGATTCTATGTATGACTCTTAAAGCTGGTTGTATAGATCATGGGGAGAAGAACTTTTTTTCTCAAAAAATGTCATTCATTGTACATGCCACTGTTTGACAGTTGGCCTGATGTTTCCTGTCTCTGTCATGCCCACTTATCTGTCCTCTCATATTATCAGTTAGGTTTTTCAAACTCACCAAATCTGTGACCTTCCAGAACAAGTTTCCATTTTCAGATCGCTCTACTATATTCTTGAGGAGGGACATGTTTGGTTTGTTTTTTGTTGCTGTTGCTGTTTTTTTAAAGCAAGTGGGACTTGACTGCTTTAATACACAATTTTCTTGGATATTTAGCTTGTTTCAGTGACTCCAGTATTATTGGGAAGCAGATGGATCTTCTCTCCTGGTATCTTGCCATCCTGACAGAATGATGGATGTTAGCACTTGAAAAATCTTTATCTTATTTTACATTGCTCTTAGATACTTTCTAGCTCCCGCTTTGAAACTGACACACAGCTTGGCTTACACTTCACATGGTTCTTTCACATTTTGTGCTTTGATCAGGTTCAACTTTGCACATATTCATTTATCTGCTACATCACACTTTGTTTCTTACTCTTCCCCCTGTACTTATAGATAATATAGTACATATTAGTACATACCAGACCTCTGAGACTTTTGTAGAAAAATAAGCCTTTTTTGACTTGAACATACTAATAAAACTTTTCACATACACATGCTACTGTAAAACATCCTCAGTCAATTTAGTCCATTGTTTCCCTTCCAATGGCTTAATTGCTTTCAGACTGCTGTCTATGATTAAAAAAAAACTAGATTTGTAGATGAGGAGAGAGCAGTGGATGTCACACCACTCAATTTCTGCAATACTTTGAACACTGTTTACCCCAGCATTCTTGTATCCAAGTTGGGATATTATGGTCCTAATTGGTGGAAAACAAGTTAAAAAAGAAAAAGGCTGGCTGGATGACTTGGCTCAGGCTAGAAGAGAAGGCTTCAGGGAGATCTAATAGCAGCTTGCAAGTACCTACAAGGAGATTATCAGGGTGACAAAGCCAGGCTTTTACAGTGGCATACACTGGGAGGACAATAGACAAAGAATATAAGTTGAAACAAGACATGTTCATATTTAATAGAAGAAAAAAAAAATTCATCGTGGTTGCCCAGAGACGTTGTGCCATCTCCATCCTTGGAAGTTTTTAAGACTCAGCTGGATAAAGTCCTGAGCAATGTGACCTGCTCTTGTAGCTGCTCCTGTTCAGAACAGGAGATTGGACTAATAACTTCCTGTAATCCCTTCCAACCTGAATTATGGCCCTAAGGCAGTAAGAGCCCCGTGTCAAACACCATTTTTTTTTTTCTCTCCACTCCCCTGGCCTTTCTAAGTACACATTGTTGTCAAATACATTTTTTGCCATCCTGTTACAAAATTCATAAAACAGGTTCTATTCATACCACAGTACAGACTGTTCTTATTAGCTGGCACGAATCTATGAGGCAATGTGCAATATGCTGTAAGTTACCATTACGTTTCACACTGCCTTGGAGAAACAGTAAATATGGCGTAATTCCATGAAGTGTAAGTTTCTGCATGGCAGCAGGAAGAACCACATATGAAAAACACAAAGGAGACATGAAGTACTGGTTCTTCAGAATAGCATCTGAAATAACAATTAATAAGAAGTTAAATAAATAAATGAATACTAATATTAAGACTATTTTTTCCTCAATAAAGATACCCTCTGCAAGATATTAATTCCTCTTTTTCACTCAGTGCTGATAAGACACCAAATGCAGTACTGTGTCTAACTCGGAGCAATATGGTCCCAGAGATGGACCAAAGGGATTGAATTCTCATGTTTTATCTGAACACTGATAAAAGCACTACATAAGATCGGACGTCTAGAAAACATTTTCTGTGAAGAAAGGCTGAAAAAATTTGAGATAGGCTATAGAACACAAGATTAAGGGATGATCTGATAGACCTTCTAGTACGTAATAGGTAGTTTAACAGAGGAATGGAATAATTGTTTTCCTTTTCCACTCTGTACAAGACAAAATGACCTGGTTCCAGGCTACAAGACTATTCAAGTTAGATATAACAAGGACATTTCAGAGTAAGGAGGACAAAGTAATACATTAGGTCAACACAGGCAAATGAAGAAATATCCTTCATTGGAAATTTCTAGAGACAAACTGGATAAGGAATTATGCAAGCATCACTGACACTACCTTAGGGAGAGGAAAGATGGATGACTCAGTGTTTTTCTATAGTTCTATGAATTACATAATCTGTGATATTAAACCTTTTGTATTCTCTTAATATAACATTGCAGGCAGCACTAGTGTTTTTTTTTTCTTTTTGCTATAGGCTTGACAACAGTTATGTTCTTGGCTATCAGCAGCTATAGATAAATGTGCAATAGGATGGTAGACTGTTGCTTTCCCAATTCAGTGCTTGCCAAAGTTTGTATTAGACACCTAGTACAATTTTGCTTTTATGAAATTCAACTTACTTCAGTTGTAGCCAAATTTAAGTACTTTGTCTATTTACATAGACAAACATTTTGCCTGGCATTTTCAAGAACTATAATGAATGATACCCAATATAAGAATTAAATGATTTTAACAAGTCTAAAATCCATTTTCTAATTTTCTCCATTTCCTTTGTCTTATTCACACCAACGAAATTGAGAAGCAGGCATTTTATTTATTTCCATGGCAGATCTTACTCCTTCAAAAATGTGATTTCACAGTTTTAGAAGCAACATATTTTATTGTTCACTCCTGCTATAATTTTCTGGTGCTCACATTTTTATTATGTGAAGAACCATAATTTTAGTTTTATTAAATTCAAGTTTTTAATTGAAAACTGAGTCTTCTGCTTGTCCATGGACCCTGGCATATAGAGTAGAGCCTGCTATTTTTGTGCAGTATTCTAGAAGTAATTTACATTGTATTTAATAGTCTTATGATCTTGCCACTGTATAACTTCAGTTCAATGTTTTTTCTTTAATGTAATTCTGTTTTCTTCCTTTGAATAATGATAAAGGATTCTTTGAAGCCTAGGACATTCACAAATGTCCCAACATGTACCTGGCATTTGATTTCCTGTTTCTGTGCTCTGTCTTTACATGTGGTCATACACTACATTTTAGAAACTATTTAAATTGCAGTGTATTAATATCTAAGTCTAAAATCTGATGCCTCCTCCCTCACACTTTTGCTTGCTTCCATAGTATAACACATTTATTTTCTTTTTACATCTGTGAGGCTTTAGCATCAATATTTCTTTTTGACAAAGTCATTGAATATGTCCTCCTGTGCTGGGCATTTTCTGTTATGTTATTTTTTTTTTCCCGCAGCCAAAAATTTTCTTTGAACTTTCTCTCCCATTTATGAACTTAATTTTGTAGTAGTCTTGGTGCATATGCTTTGCATTGATATACTTCTATACATTAATTTATGTTATTTCTATTATATCTAATTGTTCTCTGTACTTATTTTGAACAAGAGAGGCTAATATCCAGTCTTTACAAGCAAAACAAATCCCAAGAAAAAATTCTCATTACTTAAATATCTTAACCTTGAGGATGCCTGATTAATTATTTTTCCAGCATTTAGGACTACACAGTACAGAAAGCTAAGGAATGATTTTAAGGAACACTGTCCCTGTATGTTACTGCTAGGCACTATAACAAAATTACAGAATTCCAACTAACATGTAAAAATTTCATCAACCATTTATAGTTGGGGCAGAAGCCTGTTACTGCTAATGCACAGTGATCAAATAAACTAAGCACACATTCTTAATTTCCTTGGATTTACAATATGGTATGTTCTACTTCCCATTAAAACACTTTTCTGTAGCATTTTGAAATAGTGGATTGCAGATGTCCTGTAAAAGTGGATTTTAATTTTTATTTTAAAAAAGTAATATGCAGAGTCATGTATTGCATGTGGAACAAGCTGATTTCCAAACAGCTAGTGCTAGGTATTCGAGGGCAAATTCACAAGTTAATTAGACTTCATTTGTGTCCAAACTAAAAATCTTATTTATGAACTATTCAATCTGTGAAATTTGGACTTGATCATAGTCCCTCTTCCACTTATGTTTGAAAGTATATCCAAAGGAAAAGGCTAAAGAGTCAGGCTTGACACATCTAATAATCAGTGTGGATAGCAAGATACAAGCAGAAACCATAAAGAAGCACAAGCTGCAGAAGCAGTTCCTAGGGCACAAGGAGTTTCTTAAACCCCTTTTCCTCATAATTCATTCTAACTGTGCATATTGCCATAAAACAGAACCAAGAAAAAACCTGAGGGTTTCCTTAAACTATTTTATTTTATTATTTAAAACAGCACTGAATAAATTAATAATGCCATTGTTCTTTTAAACACTTCTGCTTATGTGAATACTAATGGAAAAGGTTACCTAGAGTTCTTATATTAAGTGATTAGTTTTCCTTTATATTTTTATAGGACGTTCGTAATAGCAATCTAAATTTAGTGCTATGGCTGCTCATAAACCATTAGGAACAACACAAATATCCTCCTTATAAATGAGAAGGTAGAAGGTCCTGAAAAATAATTCTGGATTGAATGTGTGAAAGCAAATTTATGTAAATTGCTGTCAGTCATCCGTATATTCATTTCACTATGAAAATAACATTCTAAATGATCTGTAGCCAACAATTCCTCACTTGAAGACATGCATTGCAAATATTTATTCAAAACAGAAAAAAAAAAAAATCACTTAAGGATAAGCATAAGTCTTACCACGCCAATAGAAAAGTAGTTATTAATGATGTTGTAAGGCACTGGGTCTCCTTTCTCATCTTTATCATTGGGTATTACTTCAAATTTCCACCTGTCCAGCAAAATCTCTGAGCTGTTCTCAATGTCTTTTAAGATCTTAATCAAATTCTCACCTTCATAACCTAGCAAAACACAAAAATAATTACTTAAACATGATGAAGTTTCATTGCATTTTCTTACTTATTCTAGATGACTGAAAAAACAAAAACTATGTATATAAGATCTGAAAGGCAGGACTGTGTTTGAAGTATTGACAATTTTCTAGTACTTGTCATTGAAAGGAGTACAAATACAAAGCTGGTTTCTGCACTCAGCTAAATTAATGTAAACTTAGATTCCACTGGGCATCAAATTTACACTACAGAAAATAATCTTAGCTTCAAAACTTTCCAATCACTCTAATTTTCCAAATTATTATAAAAGTTATTCAAAAAGCCAATGTTATACTTCACAAAACGTTCTTGCTATGAAAACAATATTTAAATTTATGGTTTTTTCAAAATGTATGGAAAAGACATAGCAGATTTGTCTGAAAGAAGTCTGACAAGAGACTGAATGGTTAAAAGCTGTCTACTATTTTTTATCAATTGTTTCAATGTGGTTTAACCTAACAAATCCAAAATGTGAAATCAGTAATGGATAACTTTTCAGCAGAACTAATATTTTTCCATCTTTCAACAACTTCTTTATGAGTCTCATCCTGCTCTGTAGAGAGAGATCATACTTTTACTTGCCAAGAAGTGTTTACATATATTAAGCTAATTCCTTAGTAGTAGTGGTGGTTCACTACACTGTATACTCAACTCAGTAGAATTCGTAGAAGCGTGTGAACAAAATAGAGGACGCATGTGTGCACGTATAAAAAGTGTAGAGATTTTACTAAGTGAATTGATCAACTCTGAATACTATTCAGACCAAATGATTTTGTAATAGATAACTAATATCTGTGGATTCATTCCTTCTTCAAATCAGAAATAAAATTTTCTTATTAAAGCAATATGTACCTTCTGGGTCATTAACAGTTTTAGCAAGCAAAGCCATTCAAAGCTTCTCTGCTCAAAACCCATTGCTGATGTTTTTCTTGATGACTATATACTATGTTTTTGTTAGTTACCACCAACCACTGCATAACAGCAGGATGCACAATTCCATTTGTCTGCATCCGTGAGATCACACACCAACACTGATGAAACTTACAGAAAATCTGTGTCTTGGCACTGTCTACCAAGCAACTGGTGAAAGAATTATAAAAGCCAGACTATTTATACACTGTCTTTTTCTACTTTAGTGTTGATGGAATCACTCAAAATAGAAGGCAAATAAATAGAAGCGGCTGGAAAAAACAGGTCCTGACTAACATAATGAAACGCTCTCATACCTGACCCTGCTTAGAACAGGAAATTGGACTAGCAACTTTCTGTTACCCCTTCCAACAGGAATTATTGTCTATGAACTGTTCAGAAAGTTAAGCAAGGCTGAGTTGATTGAGTTTTGGGTTGCTCTTTCTTCTTTTCATTCCTATGGCTATATGAGTAAACAATTACCAGTCATGAAAGAGAAAATAAAGAAGGTCCTTAAATGATTTGACAGAACATTACGGTTAACATGTTCTATAGCACAGAAACTACTGAGCATTTGCTAAAGACTATCTTGTAACAAGGCAGACATTTGGAAAGGAGAATTGCTATGATGAGAAGGAAGAAATGTCTACAAAGGTTGAGAAGTTCAAAATAAAAGCCAAGTTTCAAATACGTAACATCTGAAATGACCAAACAAGATGTGAAACAGAACTGGCTGTGAGCCCATAAACTGACATGCTTCCACCAAAGAGTGTCTCTTTCCTAAGATTTTCTTCTTTGTGTCCCCTTCAAGTTACCCTGTAATGCAAATCCTGAATGGAAATAAATTATTGGAGGAGCTGAGACTAAGGCTGCATACATCCACAAAAGGATGCAAAGGGTGTTAAAGGTTTGACTTTACATATATTCTACTTTCAGCATTCTTTGCCTCCTCATTTCCTGATAAATAGCACCACAGCACTTATTGTCTGGAATCTTTTGTAGGAGACAAGGAGTGGATCAAAGGAACTAGTCTGAGGCTAAGACAAATATTCCATTTAATGTTTATGAATATCAAAAAAATGAAACCACTCCAAACCCATTATTAGCTGTTTTCAGTAACCCTTTCAGAACAGCCCAAATTGAATTCCATTTAAGGAATAATCCTTTTATAAGGCATTGATCAAAGAAGTAACTATAATGCAGATCCTAAAAAGCTGACTAAACAGCTATATACTACTGTCATTGTACCTTGGACGCTTTTTGGTGTCAGCAGAAACTACAAACAAGGTATGAAGAGTAATTACAACCTTTAATATCTATGAAACCATTCATATAACATTTAAAGACAGCTAATTACAAAAAGAGGAAAAGTGACAGCAGTTCTTTACATACATCATAGAAATTAAATCCAAATATTGAGATTAGACTTTGATGCAAAAGCTATCGTTTTCCTTTTAGTTCTATAATGCATTGTATTTTAATTTGTGTTTACCTCCTCCCCATCTCAGACACCTTGCTAAATCATTGCCAGTCCCAAGAGGCAGGATAGCAACTGGAGGATGCTTAATCAAGTTCGCTTTCTCTGTGAATACAGAAGGAAAAATATAACTAAGATACAAAAGAGCTAATTGTATGGTACTGATACAGAATCTGTGATAGGTTTTGTTTCAGAGAAAGACAGTGATACATGTTTTGTACATGAGATTATGCTGCCTGCTCAGCAACAAACATTTCACCAAGCCACTCCATTATGCAGCCCCTTCCCCAGTAAATATGCAATTCTTAATCCTAATTTACTTGATTGTTATCATAAGGACTTATGATAAACACTGTGATAGACATTCATAAACAACAACACTCCAGATCTTTCCAAGACTGAACAGTGTGCTCTCTGTGGCTGTCAGCTCTCCCATTTCCAGCTAAGAATGCAAAAGAGCAATAGTTAAGGGCATGAGATGGTTCTTGTCCTTTTTCATCTGCGTGGCCAAATTTGTGTTTAGCTGTGTATTCACTTTGATCTCTGTCTACATATGAGCACTGTTTCCAAAACCCCCGAAAGCAACATCAGGGCTTCGCTCATCAGGAATTAAAACTGATACTGAAAATGAGAATGGATTTGACAAAGTCTCCAAGTCAATATTTTGTATTTAATAAGTATTTTTTAATAATAATTTTGAAATGCATGAACTTACAGTGTCTTTTGACACTTCGCTAGCATTTCAAGCCAAAGCATCTCTATTCAAGATAGAACGGGAAGACTCTTTTAAAGAAATACACCTTTCTGAAAGTGGGGCAAATAACTCCCAGGTATAAAATTTCAAATATATAATTTGGCAAATTCTCCATTTAATTGGAATGAGTAGTATGCCTAGTTTAAATGTTATACTTGAAGAGTTAAACAATTTGCTATTTTGTTGACAGAATTATGCACAATTATCAGCAATTTTCAGTAGGAGTTTATATATCCAATGGATGTGGCAAGGACATCTGGTTCCTTATCAGTTTCTCTCTTCAATTCTTTAGGAAGACCAGTGCACTGCAGATCTTTAAGATAATTTAACATTTAATAGAATAATAAATTAAAAAGTTCAGAAATCTCAGATTGAGGGGGAAAACAGTTTGGCTGTTATTTGTGGGTTTTTTGTTTGTTTGTTTTTGTTTTCTATGTGGTTTGTTTCTGTTTGTGGGATGTTTATGTGTTTTTTATTTGGGGTTTTTTGGGTTGTTTGTTTGTTTGTTTTGTTTTGTTTGTTTTCCTCTTGCTTTGCTCTCAGCAAAGATTCTTTGTGTATCAGGAGATGAAGGAAGAAAAGATCCAATTACAAAGCATGTGTTTCTCAAAACAGGTGACTACTTAAACTCTATATGCACAACTTCTGGAAAAAGGCTTTGTTCACTAGAAGACAGCATTCAAAATGTATTTCTTAGTTCTGTCCCATAAAATTTGCTGCAGAAGATTTATTATTTTATTATTATTTTATTATGCCAAAATGTAGTCTGTTTTTTCAAAGAGAAAGTAACCACATGGCATTTAATACTTCTTGGAAAAAAGTAATTAAACAATTAAGAGCTGCAAAACTTCACTCCTTCCAAGTTTGGGCAGTACATCTACTATTTACATGCATCGATTCATGATTTTGAAAGCTATTTGAGAGTTAAAATCAATACCTTGTATTTGCAAAAAGTTGCTTTGTTGTTTGGTGCTGGGTTTTTTTTTGGTTTGTTTGTTTGTTTTGTTTTTTACCCAAGATTAGAAATATGCTTTTGCTGTCATCTGTTCCTCCATGACATAATTTTAACTTTTTACTGAACTTTGAAAGGTATTCTGGTCCACACCTACCACAAAGCACACACTTTTAAACACTCTTCATTCTAACTTTTAGTTGGTTCTTTTGACCTCCATCTCCTTCCCGATTTCCATCGTCACACATTGCCATTTTATCTCTGCAGCCCCTCTAATGCCAAAGAAACGTTTCTTTGTATTTCTTTGTATGTTTTGTATGTTTCTTTGTATGGCAGATTTTAACCCTAATAAGCCTTGAGAAGTTTAAGTCTGTAATATCTTGATTATGGGCTTTCCTAATGATATCTGCAAAGGACTTTACAGGCAACTGACTGAAAGAACTCCAAAACTGAAATGGCAGTTAACCCACCACCTCCATTGTGGGATAATGGAGCATAAAGAAAAATGTGGTAACTGATAAAGCAAATTATCTAAGGTAAATGGTCTTAAAAGAAACAACTTAGATTTTAGTCAGTTTGGGGACTTTGAACTGAAAATATAATAGATTTATTCAAATTTCTTGCTTTTTGGAAAAACAGAAGACTACAAATACTGGACTTCTCTAGAGATTTTGATGATCTTCTGCAATTTGAATTGTCCTTAAAATTAATCATGTCCCAAACGAATAAACTTCAAAAAATTTAAATGAACAAGATCTTGTTTGAAATAGCTATATCCACAGTTTAGTATATAGGAAAGAGTAGTAAAATGAAAAACATGAGTCTAGCAAAACTATGTAAAAGGCATTGATTACCTATACAATCCAAAATCCAGCCTACTGTTCCATCTCCACCACATGCTAGTACTCGGAACTCAGGAACATCTCGGAAAAAATTTAACCTAAAAGCAGTAAATGAAGAGATCTATTTAATTACCATAAAGGCACTGTGCATTATGCAAACATTTTATGGCTTAAGACATTTCATTTAATAATAAATGGCAAATGAACACTTGAAAAAGTAATTACCTCTGTTCATGTATTTTTTTTACACAAACACAATCCAACATTCTATTATTTGAAAAATTTAATATTAAATTGTTAATTCTAGGGTTATTATGGTATACTAATACTAGCAATAGCTTGGCCCTGACAGTTAATCTGAATCTGTGTCTCACTCCAAAACGTGTTTGAAACTACTGTCAGACAACTTTGTTTACCTAGTTGTGAATGGATATGTAGTCTCTCAAGACAGTAAAATCTAAGGTAGCTAAATGCATTAGCCACAACATTTCCTTGTGAGGTGATGACTATAAAAGCATATGAAATGAGCATATTTCTGATAATACACTAATACATAATAAGCTGAGCAATTTGTGGTTGATAAAAATGACTTTGCATCATGATTTAATACAAAATGAGTAAGCACTTGATTGAAAGCACTCATTCTATCATCCTACAAACCCTGTTTTAAAAGTGAAGTATCTTTGGTAGTATTTGCATGGCTATTTCTTCTTCCATATTCATTGAGTGCTGGAGAGTATCACCACCTCTTTATCCACTTTATTCATACCAATATTCCATAATGCTGTAAAGCAGGGATATATTAAAGCAATTCTAATTTGCAATATTTCAAATTTAAAAGCATCTTTTCAGGATAGCTTTTGATGCATACTGAAGTTAGACCTTACACAAATTGTGACTAGACAAAAACCTTCCAGTGGTCTTGCTGAATTTATATGTGTGTGTGTACATACATTCACATATATTCTATTCATTACTGTCATAGACATCTTCATCCATATTCTACACGCTAGTGGCCAGATAAGATTTCCAGTTCAAAATCTCCTAATAAACAATTAGTACATTGCACCCTTAATTGCAATTCTTAAAAACAAATATACATAATATCTTGCAACTTTTTAATTTAATCTATATTCCATATGAAATCTTAATGCTGCACAGTGAATGAGGTTCCTGTCCCTAGAAAGTTTTAAAAATTCTTATAGGCTCTTGATAAAAGTAAACATGCATGAAAAACTAGAGTAAAACAAAGTGCATGGGAGAAGGGAATAGGAAGCACAATGGTCAAAAAGTGTTATTTAAGATGCAGAAGATAACAAGACAAGTTGTTCTATTTGTTCTAAACAGGAATTTCAAAGTTAGCAAAACTATATAGAATTAAACCCATTACATTATTTTCCCAATCCCTCTAATTTTCTCTGCTCACAAGAGCTTCTAGTCAATTTCAATTGTCAAGTACAGTGTTTGAAGGATGCTTACTCATTCTGTATTAAACCCTGCTTTGCCTTTCACACCTCGAACGTTCTGTTTCACATACCCGCAGGCCAAGTGCTACAGGATCACTTCTAATACAAAATGTAATGTGCCAAATCTGACTGGGTACACTTGGGGAACACATCTTCTAAGAAGCATACATGCTGAAAGACCCCCTGCTGAAAGTCAGTTGCTACCACTGTAAGAGTGGGCACTGAGATATTCCCTGGCTCACAGGTGCGCATCTCTGCCCTTTCATGAGACCTAGCAAAGAGACAAATGCCTCCCATCACCAGCCTTCTCACTTTGACCCAATGTGTTGGGACTCTAGAAAGTTAATACATCTAATTATAACGCTTCCATTACTAAGAAAATTCCAGATTAATTAAAAATTGAATTCTAGCATAGCAGTGATGGCAAGATTATAACTTCTATAAATATTTAAGCATTTCTAGCACATGCAACAGGTATAAAAAAGAAAGCCTGAAAAAAACCCCAAACAAAAGGCAAACAAAGCCCAAAACCCTAGTACCAAAAGTACAGGGTTGATGGCAGCATTAATCCAGATAGGCAAAACAGAGACCCAATCCTCTGTCTCTGTTTTTATGAGCAAGCATCCTTGCCATATGGCTATCAAATGTTCTTTTTGATGAAGATTAAGTATACAGTCAAAACAAAAAGTATAACTTTCCAAGAAAAAGTCTGACAAAACCAAACTGTCAAAAAAATTCTCAATAAGCTTAATTTATATTTCCCTTGGAGCATTTTATATTCATACACAGTAGATTTTCCAAACAATTTCATAGTACAGTATTAAGTTCACATGACTATTTTAAAATTTAAATATAAACATGATACATATATTATACAAATATAAAATAAATACATGAAAATATACTTCTTACATTGTATATTTGCATATACAAATATACTGTATATAAATATACTATAGCAAATATAAATATTTATATAATCAAATTTATAACATTAAATATAGTTGTATAATTAGATATGTAAATACATCTCATTCATTGAATTAGAATGTGCAGTCTACCATAAGAGTTGGTAAGGGAACACAGTTTTATGTTTAAAAACCTCAGTAGATGTTATAATTGTAAAGAAAGAATTTGACAGATTTATTAAGTGAACTTAAAGTAAAGAGTAAGTAACGTCTATCAAGATAGCTTTTGTCAATTAAGTTTTTTAATAGCATCTGTTTCCTCTTACCCACAGAACATTTGATATAGTTTTGAAAAAAAAAGAAAAAAGTTGGAGAACTACTTATTAATAACTGGTTTTGAAGTGGAAATAAAAAAATAAATAATAATTGAAGTCATCCTAAAGGCTTTGTGCACTGTCAGACTATAAGGTAGAAGACCAGAATAGAAAATCTAATCTTATTTTCTTGAAATTATTTATAAAATTGTACAAGAATTATAAGCATATATAATATTAATAATAAAAACCATGAAAATATAATAGGTCTCTTACCCAAAAACTTTTACCTCTATTTAAAAAAATAAATATTTATTTAACAGTTTAGATGATCATTTCTTACATAGCACAGTATGGATAACAATCTTATTACAAGTAGAACATTAAGTACAAAGGACAGATGACGCTATATCAATAAACTTTACAAAAATTATGTCAATAACCTTGTCAGAAATTAAATAGAACATAAGAAACAGGTAAATAAGATAATTTGATATAAATAAAATACATATTTTGAAGTAATCTGTGCTGTAATTCACATTGAATCATTTAACACAAAAACACATATGCTAGCCAGAAGAAGAAATACAGAAGCACTTGCGGGAAAAGTGAATCAATAGATGCTGGATAGTGGGTGGAGTAAAGATGCTGGATGCTACATGTTCAGAAGTAACTTAACTGTAATAGTCAAAAGCTTATTACTGGGTGACCGAGAAAAGAGAACTAGTTCAAGAATGTGAGAAGTGCAAGCTAATAAGTAGGCTAAAAGACATGACAGAGTTTTTAAAAACAGATTTCAGACAAAGGCTGTGTGGCAAACTCACTACTGAACAATTACAATCCTGTGTCTTAAGAGAGAATGAATTAATCTGGCTCACAACTTTGGAAGTCTAGACTGAGACAGGAGTGGAAATTGATGGTATTTGCAATATTTAAAGATTGTGCTATGAAGGCAGCAAACACCACAGATGTCATACAAGTAAAATTTTTGTTTAACAGCTGTTTAAAATATATATCTAAATCCAAGGTTTAAGTTTCACACTTGAAGACTTAGTGAGTTTTAAGTACTACTGATTTATGGTGCACAACTGTGATTTTAATCTTTAGAGTGCTACCAATCCACCATGGCTTCCTTTGCCATTCTTTGGCAAAAATGGAATTCTTTCAAAGAAATATGCACCAAGCTCAAGGTTTTGTTCAGGAGAAAACAACTATGCAATTATCTTCTAAGGATATTCTTGGTGTATGAATCTTCCTAGAATACTCTGGATATCCCAAATGTCCAACATCAAAAAAATGCTCTAGCAATCAACTCCAATAATCAGGAAAATCAGTGTAATTTTCAAAATAGGCCTATTGCTTTGTGAAATTATAAAGGCCTGGGTGCCGTAAATTCCCAACGAAATTACAGAGTAAGTTGTAGGGATTCAGTTTGGCTGTCTTGGGCATCTTTTAAGTGGACAGAATTTAAGATTTAAAAAGGCCTGTTGAGGTAAACTTCCGGATAGAATTTAAAAAATACATGCTCTCCAAATTAAATGCTTAAGGGAGGTACAAAGAAATACAACTTTTGTGGATGTAATTTCTATTATAGAGTATAAAAATAACATAAATTAGACATTTTAAATAATAGACTTAAGGGAACAGGAGCCTTTTCAGAGGGACAAAGTCTTTGTGAAACGGTGACCTCTCTACGGAGTCATGTGGGTCTGTGGCTGGACTGCTATTCATCCAGCTATTATTTACCTCTCTGTAAGGTGAACAATAACTGAATTTCAGATTCTTCAAGATCATTAAATCCACAATACCAGTTGTTGTCAGAAGTAGAAGACTCCTATAGAGATATAACAACCAAACAGGGAAACTCTTTTCAAGGCTAAAAACACAGGTGCTAAGCACAAATTACACAATGTATCAGCCCGGCAATTTTCACGTCACTTTGTTAAGTGTGGCAGTCTGTAACCGTGGAGTACCTTCTACGCTTCTGTTCAGCTGCAGAGCTTACAGGGTTTCTCCAGCTCACCCGTATCTCTCTGCTCCTAAATAATGTCTAAACCATTAATTATTATACCAGTGTTTAAAGTGTACTGTTGCCCTTTGGCTGAGAGCTCCTTGATTTTCAGGCCTTGCAGGTCAGTTTCCATTGTTGGAAAGGAATCAATGTCAGAGTTGGCTGGCATGCAATTTATTTGCATAATGTACATATTTTTATATAGATTATATACATAAATCTTGACATCACCAGCTCCAAAACCCTTTAGCTTAGGCATGCTAAGAAGGTACAAGAAGCATCTTTGTTGCTGCCCCTGCATTTCTGCAAGTAGCATCCCATCTATTATGAAAGTAGGTGACACATCCACTTGAGTAACTGCACATTCAGATAGCAACACAGGAATTCACTGTCAAATTGTTAAAAAGTATTTTTCTGTTGATCTGCTACATGTCAGCATATTTATTTAAAAAATGCACAGTAACAGATATTACAAAAGGCAGGAAGCAAGATGCATGTTGATTTTTTTTTTTCATTTTAGTTTGTTTTTTTTTTTTTTTTTTAAAGGAGAGGATGGAAAAGGAAAATTAAATGTGTTATTTCCAGATTTCAAAGAAATTAAAATATGGGACTCCACTAGTGGCCTTTCTTCCAATGAAAAAAAACAACCCAACTATTTAACCTGGTTCTAGCTCAGTTTTGTTAAGGAGCCCTTTATTCTAACACATTTCCATGAAAGAACATGATTATCCTACTGAAAAGGAATAATGAAAGTGAATGAGTGATTGAGCTGTTGACTCAACAACAAAAACAGTGAAACCAGCAGTTTCACAGTCCCTCTAAGACTTAGAATTTTATTGGTCTTTGAGATCTCTTGTATTTCTCCCTGTTATCTAAACAGAAATTAACTGGAAATATTAATTTTAACCACAGATTAGAAAACATAAATGTTATCTTCTTGGTTGATGACAGCAGCCCATGAGAAAAATAAATTAAAAAAAAAAGTTATGGGTTTAAGTAGACAGCTTGGCTCTACCAAAACCATGCAGTTTTTATCCTAATACTATAAACACTCTATAGGTTGAGTAAACATGTCTGAAATTAGTATTCAAAAGGGAAAAAAAAATCTCAAAATAGACTAAATTATAAAGTGTTTCAACGATTATGCTTTAAAATACATATATATAATGCTTATCCCTTTCCAATAAATAACAGTAATTGACATAATACACTTTTGTTTTTCTTTATGCTGTACAATCCCCCACTCTGCTCCATTTCAATCTAAACAACAGATACGACAGTATTACATAAATGTAACATTTTTATTGACAATCCAGCATAACTGGCATTATACAGATGGATGAGTGAGTGGACGGATGGACGGGCAGGTTTTATTAGGCAATCCAGCCTTTGCAGAAAGGGAAAGAAGGACTGGTAACTGAAATACAGACTTTATTCAACTGCTCTCTTAAGGGACAAATTATATGCAGCCTACATAGTATTGCCAGGGGCAAGATGTGATGGCAGGAGATAAACTGGAAATTTAGGATTATTAATTTCTGTGGAATTAATAAAAAATATATCCAAACAAGCCTAATAAAATGCAGCATCTGTTTGCAAATTAAGTAGAAACTTCTTCAAAGTGACTATGAAGTAAAACTATTTCGATTCCTAATGGAAAGAGATATTGAAAATATCCTCTAAGAAACACTGTCCCTGGTTCAAAAGACTAAAATTTAAATCGTTTCAGTTTGAACTTAACACTGCCCTCTTGTGCTTCTGCCTTAAAATACATTTTCCTTTGCATCACAAGATACACAAAACCAGAACTTAGCAAGGGACATTAACGAGGGCAGTGAGTGGGATTTGATTCTTTTGTTAGTTTAAATAAATAAATACATAAATATTTAACGAATAAGATTATTTTGATAAAAAATATTTCGTGTTGTTATCTCAAACTCTAGCATGGCATTTTTATTATACTGTGTGTAAAATAATATTGGTTACTAGTTTTGTCTCAGACTGAGAGTCAAATTTCTTATAAATTCCCAAAATAAGGTCCTGTAATTTCTCTAGTATACTTACTATTTGGACTCAGACTATTTACTTTTTTTGTATATGTCAAGATTAGCATAACAAACCACCAACAAATAACATTAAAATAAGGAAACAGCACTAGCATTCAGGTACAGAATAAACTACAGGCATTAAAGAATCCATGCCATTATTTTCCATTTTTTAGCAGATTTTGCACCATTCTGCTGGTTCCACATTAGCCACACTGTAGTGATTCCTAAGAATCTTAACTTCAAAAAGGATTGAGCCCAATCCACTTTTCACTTTTAACAATGCTATACACATTCCAAGTCTAACACAATAAACTAAAGGACAGCTGATGTAGAACCATTTAAAGAGATTAGCTTCCTGTATATTTGGCCTCAAAACCAGAATTACTGGTAAAAACTGTCATACTCTTTCCAGTAATGTATCTGACAACTGAAATACAAACCATGTACATTTCCGCCTTCATCTTATTTTCCTCCAACTTAAAAGGAAAAAAAGTCTGAACAAATAAAAACTCTCAGGATTAAACAACAAAAAAAAATATTCAAACAACAGTGTAAACTTCATGTCAGTAAAGACATATCTCCCTAAATCTTTCTGCAACTCTTCTCACTGATGTAAAATTTAATGTATCAGTGGCATAACTAAACAACAACCACTAGATACAAAATCATACACAAAAAATTTTTCAGTGCTCCTCTGTTTTCTTCTACCAAAGTACCCACTACATAAAAAGGAGATAATTTCAGATGGCAAAAGTTGGTATTTGATATATTGCAATTCTTCTGTCTCCATATGAATGCAAAATAGGAAGAATCATGGAAGAACCATGTTACGAAGTGACTGCAATGCTATTTGGTTCAGCTAACACTTCAGTCCCCCAAAAAAGTCAATGTCAACACAATCTCTCCTGTCCAGTCATTTTCTGCCCACTACATCCCCAAGATTATGGAATTGATAAGGAGTGCACAGCCACCTTAATTTGAAACAAAATTCTGTATCTGACATGCATAAGACTGTATGTGTGTATATATATGCACTCTATATATATATATATTACAAAGACACAAACATACGTGGACATATGTGTTTATGCAAAATAAATGTATGCTCTGCAGACCAACCTTTGAGGCAGCTTGGTATTTGTAACATAATAGTAATGCCCACATGAACTTGGGTTGCTGATATAGCAGCAAAAGCTGCAACACAATGAAATGTATCCCACAGTTCTTATATAGAGTACAGCATGGTTATCAGTAAAACATACAATACGTAGCTTTACTTGTACACAAATAATACCTGTAAATTTCAGGGATCTGCAGTGTTGATACATCCAAAACATGCTGCATGTGCCTCAGTCTGTTCATTTGATCATGTAGCGTTTTATTAAATGAGTTCCTGGTAATAATGTTAACTGTAGACTTACCCTGGCATTGGTCCATTTCCAGAAAGACTATAAACTTGACGAGGATTTAAAAGGTACTGAAATTTTCTATAGATTCTGAAGAGTTAAAAGAGACAAGAAGGAAATATTTACTTACATGTTTGAAATGTTTTTCAAAGAAAAAGAATTAAAGAAGTTAACACATTATAATTATTTGAATTGCAGGATGTCATTTATGCAAAAAACTCAAATATTTGAACACAGCAATTATAGTTCATGTATACAGTATATTGTAGGCATAAAATCGAGCCAGAAGTGTTACAAGTATCTACAATTCAAATGCTGCATATAGACAGGAGGGGAAAAAAAAGGATAAGGAGGTAAAATGACGCAAAAAAAGGTGAGTCAAAAAAGCATTTGGAAAAGCTTATTGGTTCCTATTAAAGTAACTCCATGATAAAGGAGATATTTATTCCTGAAATTTATTATTTAACACAAAAGTACAATTAAAATTAATTGCAAAAGAAAATTGGCTTTGCAACCCACCAAAAAATGTCCCCATAGTTTGAACAATGTTCTAAGAAAGCAAATCTATTGTCAATTTCATCTCCTTTTGATTTTATTTGAATGTGAAAAAAGAAAAAAAATTCAAAATGCTTCTTTTACTTAAATTACATCTATTTAAAATTATCTGAATAATAGAAAACAATTTATTGATATCCTACCCCACAAAGGACACCATTTGTTGTTCCATCCTCAGCAAATGTTTATTTAAATGACAGAATATTTTTAAAAATTGTAACTTACTAAATTTGAGGTCACTTGTCCTGAAAGTATGACAAACATTTTGTTTCTTCATTAAAAATATTAGAAATGTAATTTCCTAAATTGACTACAATGTGGTACCTGCTTCGTTTCTTACACAGAAACAAGTAAGCACATGAAGGAGTTAGAGCTCAGAATGAATAAATACATACATGAGATTTATGGCAATAGTTTAAATCATAAACCCCTGTTTTTTGCTTTTAATTTTAAAGTTTACATATTCAAGCTAATTAATATTTTAATGTTTTTAAGGAAATTATTTATTTTTCCTGCT